ATACGTGCATTACTCAGTACTTCCTAAGAGCAACGAAAAGGCGCCTGAGCACAGACTTGTGAATCAGCCGGTTTTGGGAGTATCTGGCGCTCGAATGATGCACGACTTCGGAGCGTCTCGAAGTCATACTATCATCATGGATCTTCCTCTGAGCCTTGACCCTCTCAACACAATGAAAGGCAAAGAGGTAGTAGCATACGATCCGACGAAGCCTTCACGGTTTGGCGTGTTCCCGCGGCATCAACCATCCAGTGTGCGGTGGTTTCATACAGCACCATGCTGTATCTTCCATACTGCGAATACTTGGGATTCTCAGTCCAGCGAAGGGGAAGTCTATGTTAATCTGCTTGCGTGTCGAATGACTTCTTCTACGCTAGTGTATACAGCGGGGAACATTCGGCCACCAGTGAGGTCTAGGTGTACCCAATCACGGGTCTGGTCAGACGAGAAGGAAGAAACAGCTTGCAGATATAAGGAGGCTCCTGCTCTTGAATCACCAGGTGAAGCAACGGGGTTGGCCAACTACTTTCCCATCACTGCAGAGTCCGACGACTACGATCAATGCCGGCTATACTACTACGAATTCGATTTGGCGATGGACTCCCGAAACCACGTCAAGAGCCAGTGGGCTCTCTCAGCGATACCTTTCGAATTTCCGTCAGTGCGTCCAGACCGAGAGATGCAAGAAGCTCGCTACATCTACGGCTGCAGTACATCGACTTCCTGTTTCGGCGTTGCTCTCGGGCGAGCTGATAAGGTAGATCTTCTTGTCAAGGTGGATGCCAAGACCCTCATCCAACGTGGCAAAAAGATGAACGCAACATCCATCACTGGGTGCGTCGATAGACGTTCAGTCTGCGAGATCCTTCAAGAACAAAAGAGGGACGATCCTATAAACATATTCCGTCTTCCACCAAACCACTACGCCCAAGAACCGCGGTTCGTTCCTCGAGCTAGTTCAACTGAGGAGGACGATGGATATCTGCTCTTTTACGTCTTTGACGAATCTCAACTCCTGCCATCTGGCGATTGCCCTCCATCTGCTAGATCTGAGCTTTGGATTCTCGATGCTAAGAACATGCGTGATGTCGTGGCCAAGGTCAGGCTTCCGCAACGAGTTCCATATGGTCTGCATGGAACTTGGTTCTCTAGCCAAGATATCGAATGTCAACGGGCTGTGGAGTCTTTGAGAATTTTGGAAGTGGTGCAAAGGAAGAAGCAGGAATTGGTTAATGGCGGAGGACAGATAAGGAAGTCATGGATGGTATTACGAGAGAAGTTGGAGAGAGCTGTCGGATGATGAATTTCTGGGTTTTGAGAACGATTCGCTTTCACGATACCCTGTTGCGAGCTTCGCAACACTGTTTTGTAACTTGTAACGTTTTTCAGTATGTTCATACGACTCTTCATCCTTGTAATACATAATAAGCATACCCAACTACTCAGAAAGCTTTTAAGACTACCCCGAGGTTCTAACTGCATGCAAGTCCAATCATCCTTCCATTACGCATAAACTCGTATTACCATGATTACCCCGACTCCAACGATGTCCCGTAAATTGTCCCGACTCTTTCACCAAATATCATGCTCCATCATTGCGTGCGATAGAAACTCAGTATCGCTGTTCGCAATCGAATTCGCCATATCAATCATCTGCGCGGTCGTGAACCACGCATCCATCCCCAGATCATCCATACCCGGCAACATCGAAGCCATGGTCTCATTATCATCGTTCAAATCATTTAGATTACCTTCGCCCTCGCCAATCGTCCCCCCAATGATCTGTCCATCAATCGGAACCGGTGTTGTGTCGGATTGATCACGCGGTAACCGTCCCAACATATCGTCAAGCTGCTGCAACTCCGACCTTCGAAACATGGCGATGAGATTACCCTTACTTATCATCTCGTTGAAGATAATATGCGTCTTGTGTCGGAACGTAGCATCGTATTCTGAGAATCGCGGGTCAAGAACGGGTGCGATGAGGAGGTTGAAGCTCGACACGAAGAGAGACTCTAGATCGAAAGGGAGAAATGCTTCTGGGAATTTGTCAGTAGCTGTGGTTGACGAGATCAATCTCTTGATTTACCAAGCAGACCTTGACTTTGCAAACAGCCAAGAATGTTGATCATCTGGTAGGAAGAGTCGATACACATCTTGATCAGGTTCCAGACAGTTTGAGATGAGTTGAGGGCTTCTGTTATGGAGTCGGGGGTCTCGAAGCGGATTTTGAGAAAGCACAGTAGGAGAGGTCTTGTCGCGAGAACGATGCACTGTAGATGTCAGCACGGATCGTTGGTTTGCTGAAGAATCATGTTACCTGATGATATAGAGTATGGAGGTACCCCGCTACCCTTGAAACGCCGTTTACCGCTTTATCTGCACCTAGTGGAAACTGCTGCTGTAGCTCGTCCGCCAGACCAGCAATGTTCTCGAGAACCTTTTTGGTGCTGAGTAGGAACTTCTTGTTCAGCCGGCCATTCGCTCCATACACTCCTATCATCCAATTAGCCTTGTTCATTGAACTGAGGGTAACTTCGTACCTCTCCCAACCGATGCAATGGTTCTGCAAAGTCGAATCTGCATGTGAAGCGCCGCCACTCGTTGTGTTGACCCATCAAAGTGCGGGAGCTGGTGATGAATGTCGTCGTCATGAACGGATTGCGGTAGGCCCATCAGAGATGTCATCTCGCGGTCTAATACGTAAACGGTCCACCATATCCTTCGACTCCGTTCAACAATGCGGTCTCCTAGTTGATCTACTGGCATGTCGGTGTGCATTCCTTGCCCGAGTGCAACTCTCATTGCTTGTCCAATCTGTCGGAGGTTAGCCAAAGCCGGCGAAGCACAGTAGAGAGCGTACAAATCCATGTGACGAGTGTCTGTAGTCGAGAGACTCAAAGTATAGAGCTATACAGCATAAGATCTCCGTCGATATCAGTGGTTGGTAAACAAGGATATGAATGCTCGGTAGAAGTCGGAGGGCCGTGACGAAATAATCAGCGCCAGGGGGCCTCTTTGCTTGGTAGTTGTTGTTTTCGGCAAAAGCTTTTCCAAAAGCGAGGATGAGAAGGAGGTGGATGTATGGCAGGTCCGCAGCTGCGATATGACTACTCGGATCCGCGTAGAATTCGTGGAGATAAGCCATGAACGTCTCTTCATCAAACAGATGAAATAGCTGACCGCAGTGAAATTTGACTGTGTTGATTAAGAAGACTGCATGATCAAGACTGGGCATAACCGGCGGATCCAGCGCTGGAGTTATTCGAGAGCCGTCCCATCCAAGGTCGTACGCTAAGCCATCGAATAGTAGGTTGTCGACTGAGATTGGACTTTGGTGGATGTATTCGTGAGTGAGACTGAGGACACGTCGAGTGAAGGACCAGTTTGATGATGTTCCGAGATAGACTGAAATGTCAGCCGAAGCCCTCTTGAAGAGATGAATACCTACATTCTCGACCTTGCGCTGAGACCATAAACTTGGATTGCCCAGACGACAACGGATTCACCAGAGCAGACGCGATGGGGTCCAGTCCCTTCCCGCTGCTATTGGTGCTACTGTGGCTGCCGAGGAGCGAGTCCTCAGTCGGAAGCGAAGCAGAGACATTGCCACCAGGCGATGGTAGATGTGGTGGTGGTTCAACTGTCGCCATTAGCAATGACCCTCGATGGGATCATCAAACAAACCTGAATCAGAAGGTCCTCCAGCATTTATGTTCGTATCCAAAGACCCGGGCGTAATATACTCGGCCGTCCCAGTACTCGATTGACTCGTCGCAGCGCGTTGCTGTAAATCTAGAATGAACCTTGAAAAGCCATCAACGTCATGCCGTAAAGAGTCAATCGCGGTGAGCTTACCCACGCGTGACGAGAACTTTTTGATCGCGTTGATCAAACTCGCATGATAATTTGCGCTTCTTGCACGCGTCGCAAGGATGTGAACCCGAGCATTTTATTTTCTGCTTGCGACATCGCGAGCATCTATCCTCTGTCAGTAATCTGTCCCCCCAAAAGTTGATGGTGCTCGGTGAGTGAGGTGAAGTTGACGTTGCAAGGTGAGGGGAAACTCAGTGCGGATACGGGGCTCAGCGCCGTACTCACGCATTATCAGATCTCTTGGAAACGCGACCCGATCCTGCAGTCGTACCAGACGTTTTCCGTGCATGCGTCGATCCAGGCGCCATTACAACGAATCGTACGATGAGAGAACAAAGACACTGATGAGATAGAAAGAAATTATTTCGGTGGTTGGCGGGGAAGAGAAGGTTTCGTTAGCTCAAGCTCAGAGCGCTGCAGCGGTTTTTTGCCCCTGCTGCAGTGTTGGGGTTAGAGCAGCCGCCACTGGGTCACGAGTATTATGCTGTAAAGGGTAAAAAAAGACGAAGTGCCAGGGGAATAATCGGGAATGAAGATAGGTACTTCAGAGGGAGAAGTGAAGAAGATGATGGTATGCGGGGTACAAATCTCTATCTTTTTGCTCTAATAAGTGAGTGGGTGAGTTTTGGGGGCTTTCACCAAGTGGAGGTGCACTGTTGATAACGACTTTGCAGTGGGACAGATGCTGGGTATTCGCCGTTTTTTGATACCGGATTAGGCTTTGACCCTGGTCGTTTTGGTCGAGCTAGAACATGGGGAAACGATAATCGAAGCACCGTGCACTTGGCCACGGCCTTCCCGGATGGGCTGGGCATGTCACACAATCAACGCAACAGGTCCACTGATGGTGCATGGGGGATGGACGTTGGACATGCATTCGTCCCAATACGTTGACGTTTGACTCATGGAAACGTGATGGAAGTGAAGTATTCGCCATTGTTCTCCCGCTGTTCTGCAGGTTGACTCACGTCAATCCTTGCATCTAACAGTCCGGGGAACATTCGTGGGTTCAGGGACAACGGGGGTTTCTTCCGAAGCCGTCACGTCATTTACATATCTCACAAGTCTTTTATCATGTCAGTAACAGCTCTATTATTCTCAATGCTCACACTTTTCCCCTCTATCTAGTTAAGACGTCCCTTGACACGATCCGTCCAAGTCTTGAGCAACTCCTCCTCCTTGTCACCCGCCTCCTTCATGATACTCTTAACACTAGTCTTAACAGCCTCACCAACAGGCTCGTAAGGATGTCTCGGGGCCAACTTCTCCTCAGCCCCTTCGACACCCGCCAATCTTGCCGAAAACACTGCAACAGCATACTTTGTAGAAGCAACGCCCGCTTTGCAAGGTCGCTCAGCAAGAGCAGCAAGCTGTTGCAGCTTCAGCGCTTCGTCAAACTTTCCCTCTTTGTACAGAGCGTAGATCTTCGATGTCAGCGTTGGGAAGACGTTGGCGAAGGCTGCGACGCATCCTACACTGCCGGCTGCTAGACCACCAATGAGGAAGTCGGATTGACCGCCGTATGTAGAGAATTCTGAAGAAGGGATTTGAGCTGCGAGACGGGTGATCTTTCCAACGGAGCCACAGGTCAACTTCACGCCGACGACGTTGGACTTTCCGCTAGGATGAGACTTCTTGCTCTCCTCATAGATCTGGACAATCGTCTCAGAATCGATATCAACACCGTTCGTCACACCAGGAAAGTTATAAATAACGACCGGCAAAGGCGACTTCTTCGCAACCTCCGAAAAGAAGCGCTTAACAACGTTCATACTCGTCGCCTTGCCAAAGTACGCAGGAGGCAGCACGAGGAGATAATTCGCGCCAGCCTTGTGAGCATCTTCAGCAAGCTCCAGAGTCTGCTTGGTAGAGTGAGCTCCGACACCGGCCATGAGGGGAAAGTCAGGGCCGATTGTCTTGCGGGCGAGGGCGATGAGCTCATAGCGCTCTTGGCGGGTGAGGAGGAAGGCTTCGGCGTTGGAGCCCATCACGATAAGGCCGTTTAGGCCGGAGTCGGCGAGATGGGCGAAGTATTTTGCTTGAGAGGCATGGTCTACTGTGTCGTCTGAGTGGTTGAAGAATGTGACTGCTGGACACCATACTCCGGGGCTGGAAATGTTAGTATGCGATGGTGATGATGGGGCTTCTAGATGGAGGCGTACCTGGGGACATGGGGCTGTTGGGATGGTGCAGGGTTGAGGGAGCCCATGATGCTGGTATTGGGTATGTAATTGATGAATTAATTTAGGAATAAAATGTAACTTGTTGTTGATGATGTTTCAATTAATGATAATATTTGACTCAATCGTTGTTCTTTAAAAGCATGATGATAATCACCTCCTCATCTGAAGTGGGGTTGTATCGCGAATCTGTTCCGAAGTGTCGAAGGCTGCTCCGAATATGGAGGGCTTCAGTGGTTGCAGCTCTGCGTCTCGGCCCCGGGAACCCGTCCGCTGTGACCGGTATGGCTCCCGATGATTACTATGGGCCTAAAAGCCAGCTCTGGCCAGTCATACCCTACGAAAGCTCGGGCGTGTCGGCCGAGTCACTTCGAGGCTGCCTCCATTCTCAAGTTACCTTTGAAGAATATGCTGAGAAGGCATGATGACTCAATATTCTCTCTATGTTCTAGAAGCCTTCGAGAAATGATCAAGTTTGTGCTGTTCGTTCTTGTTCTTTGGGCAAGGTTGACGTTCGGTTTTCCGATGCCGATAAAAGTTCTGAGCTGATCTGCTTACCCTGGAATTGCGTCCTGCAATAGCATAAATGCACAAATATGAACAAGTTACGAGGCTACACGGTTAGGTATTTATCTTGAAATGAGAGAGTATAGAATGTTATATTTATCTGTACTTCAACATTTGTAGAAATACAAACTTGAATAGAAACCTTCTCATAGTAACAAAGATCTGAGAAGAGCTCACCTCTCTAGCCAAGGCCGCCGCATATGCGAGCCGACAGACCAGCTACGCCTCAAAGCAACGAAGAGCTGAGTTGATATCACAAGAGTTTCAAATGATGATGTTGTATTATTATTCAAAGGTTCAGCCAATCATAACGCAGTTGTGTCTAATCGGTGCTGAAAACAAAAGACTCTGAATGGACTCACTGCCAGGGCACTAGAGCTTGGTATGGCCAACAGGCTGTATATCCACAAGCTCGGTCGAGTTGCCAAGTCTCCAGCTCACAGCGCCGCCCCAATCACCCTTTACTTCATCTGTCTTGGGGTTCTTCCACCTCCATCTCGCCTCAGGCTGCTCTCCCTTCTCTGACTGCAACAGGTCCTTCACAAACCCGCCAAAAATAGGGAAGAACTTGAACCCATGACCACTATCTCCAGACAAGAATAGCACCGATGAAGACGTGTTGGGTACGTAGTCGATGATAAAGTCCGAGTCGGCTGTATCAGCGAACCAGCACAGGGTCTTTTTTACGAACGGCCTGTCAGCGAACTGAGGGAGGGTCTGTCGCACAAGCTCACGGAGCTGCTTCTCATCACCCTCGGGTAGGAAGGCACTCTGCTTCAAATCTGTAGGTGCATGCGAAATTCCAGTCTTGGGATCAGTATTGATGAAGCCACCGCCCATGGGACATAGTTTGAGGAGATTCGTCTTGGGATCGGGCTCGAAGAAGAAACCGAGATCGCGTGCGTATGTCACTGGAATACCACGAAGAGCAGATGTTTCGTCGTCGGTGAGATGTAGGTGAGCCACAGACCATGACTTTGCCACGAGTTGTTTGCCAATCTCTGGGACGAGCTTTGCACCAGCTGCACCAACGGAGATGATGACCAAATTAGAAGGGTAAAACAGCCCGCCAGTGGTTTTGACGCCCTTTGCTTTGCGAACAGACGAAGTCTTCTCGTAGACGATCTCAGATACAGCGCCTGCTGTACCAAGGATATACTTCACACCTTGGGCCCGCGTCGCCAGAAAAATGGACTTCAACGCGTTACCTGAGTGCGCGTAACCATCGAACTTATTAAAGTACCCATTCCACCCAGAAAACGCGCTGTCCTTGTACTGCCAAACAGCATCTGCAATATCCTTCTGGCTATCAAGTGGCGAAAGATGAGATCTCATGCGAGGGTCGCGCTCCGCAGCAGCGCGGAATCGATTGAGCGTGTCAAGCGCTTCTTTTGGTGCTTTGCCAGAAACACAGTGCAGGAAGCCTACTTGGTGGAAATGCGGAGCGAACAGGGGAGTCTGCCAGGCCTGAATTGCTTTCTAATTGGTCAATGGGTCAGTACTGGTCCAGTAAATTTTGAAGTTGGGGTAATTGGAGGGCCAACTTACCACTGTGAGATCTTGGTACAGAGGGTCTTCGTATTCTGCGCGCACGATTTTGTTGAGATCATTTGCAGCAGACCATCGAGAGGGGATCTCTTCATCTTTGTCGAGAACGGTAATGTCCTTGTAGCCTGCTCTGAGGAGGTGCACGACTGTTGAGAGGCCAAAGGCACCGCCTCCAACGATAAGGATTGGTTCAGATTTGGAGACGCTCATGGCTGCACACTTGAAAGAGAATTAAAGCTATTGCTGATAAGACCGAAGCAATTGAGGCGTCATTCTATAAGTATTCTCCCATTCCGAGGCTCCAAACCCATCGTCGTTCGATATCCGGCCACCACCGTCTCGTGATGCGCCTACGCTTAACGCCTTTCCACCATACGAAGCATCAACAATAGCCAGAAATGCAAAAATAGACTGGCGACGCCGCCAATGCGACACCGGGAGACGTCCCGATGCTGATACCAGAATGATTGGCACTGAGAAAACTGGACGCTATTTTAGCGCTATCGTCTCCCCATCCGTGCTGAAGTGGAGTCTGGCTGGAAGGTTAGCGTAGCCGCAAGTGCAACCCGACGATCTTTGATTACGGTTTTGGCGGTCTTGGGTCTGGTGACGACGCGCATTATCTGGAATCAGCTGATATCAAGGTCCGGGAGTTGATTGCAGCCGTTATCGGAGAGTGTTTATCGCGGGGGTCTGTTGGAAGCCGTTTACCGGCATGGGTGCATGCATGACTGACACTGGGGTGAAGCTAGGATAAGCCGACACGATTCTCCATGACAGATGGATACCAACAGTGACCTGCATTCTCTCCAGTCTTGATAGTGAAGTAAGATGACAAGACAAGACAAGAGAAACGACAGAGGGGAAGACATACAATCAATACTAGTGGAAACGTCTTTCTTGGTTCTATACCAATACTGCGAATTGCTCTCAGTCCTCGGCTTCCAAACCCGAGACCAATTCCTGTGAAGAACCCTTCCAGAACACTTCGGGGAACAGCACAGCAAGCTTCTAGAATATCTATGAGGCACGAATATGCAAGGTGGATAGACCCTGTACCTTTCAAGCCGTTAAAGAAACCTTGGGTTGAACATAGCGTGGATGCATGTGCCAATCAAGGCCTCCAGCATCCTGGAGTCTGAAACAAAGACGGCATTTATTGAGCAACCAATCAAACAAATGCATATCCTCTAGTCCAAGACGCTGTGGCTTTTAAAAGCTTAATTGTTAGCCTTTCTGTTTCTGACATATATATGTGCTGGTCTGGTTATCGAGAGGGTGTTATGATGGAGTGGATTCGAGGAGTCCGCTAGCATAACCAGCTTCAAGGCCTAACGTGCTTTTCTTTTTAGACACCATGACAGAAGAATCGCAAGATACTTTTAGGAATGGCGGCCTTACTGGATGGATATTAGCTAGATGGATGGTAAAACAGTTAGTAGAGTCTCGAGACAGCCGTCAACACGCGTGAAAGCAGATGCATATACCAGTCAATTACAATCTACATGAGAATAGATGCACGCGCATTGATCAGAAGATAGCAAGTTATCGTAAGATATACAATCATTAGTTGCTTCCGTATCCGATCACTTGTAGTCAAGTATAAGGTCACGATGTTGAAGGCCAAAGAAAGTGTTCATTAAATGTTCATTAAATTCAGTTTTTAGCTTTTGGTACAAATCTAGGTAGGCTATGCTAAGTCTATTGGGTGTTGGAAGGATACAAGAACTCCCCAAGCTCGAAAAACTCCTCCTTGACAAGCCGAGGAGACACAAATCGTCGAAGCATGTCAGGGCTACCAGCTCGGTCGTTGGTACCAGAGCTGCGAGCACCACCGAAAGATTGCTGGCCGATGAGAGCCGCAGTTGTCTTGCAGTCTGTAACTTGTTAGTATTGTGTAAAACCAGTCATACGGAGGGGAGGACTTACTAAGGTAGAAGTTACCAGCAGAGTAGCGAAGAGCATCCTCAGCTTCACGGAGGGCAGCACGGTCTTGAGCGAAGACAGCGCCAGTCAAGGCAAGACCACCGCCGTTCTCATCAATGTTCTTGAGCATAGGGGTGAAGTCAGAGTCCTTGTAGACATAGACGGCAAGAACAGGGCCGAAGATCTCCTCGTTGAAGAGACGGTGATCGGGTGAGTCAACCTGGTAAACAGTAGGCTTGACAAAGTATCCAACAGAACCATCATACTTTCCTCCGGCGATGAGCTTGACCTGAGGATCCTTATTGCTCTCATCAATGATCTTCTTGATCTTCTCAAAAGATCGGCCGTGGATGACAGGGCCCATGAAAGCCTCAAAGTCCTTGTCAGGGCTACCTTGAGTAATGTCCTTCATCTTCTGCTGCATGAGAGAAAAGAACTCCTTGGCCTTTGACTCGGGGATATACGCGCGAGAAGTAGCAGAGCACTTCTGACCTTGGTACTCAAAGGCACCTCGGATAGTGTGGTTGACGACGTTGTTGATATCGGCAGAGGGGTGAACAAGGTGGAAGTTCTTTCCAGAGGTCTCGCCGACAACACGAGGGAAATCGCGGTATCGCTTTTCAGCAATACCCTGACCAATCTTTCCATAGATCGAGCGGAAAACCTCTGAAGAACCAACAAAGTTGAGGCCAGCGAATTCGCGATGCGCAAGGACAGTCTCAGTGATCTCGGCGGCGTCACCAGGGACGAATTGGATAACATCCTTGGGAAGACCGGCCTCCTGGAGGATCTTGTAGATGATGGTGCTGGGGTGAATGTTGTACTGCGAAGGCTTCCAGAGGACAACGTTGCCGAGAATAGCGGGAGCGATGAGGTTTCCGCCGATGGCGGAGAAGTTGAACGGAGAAACAGCGTAGATGAATCCCTCAAGAGGTCGGTAGTCGATGCGCGTCCAGATACCATCTGTTCCACGCTCAGGCTGCTTGCT